AGAGCCACGGGCTGTGCGAGTCAGGACATTCCCTGTTCTCCCTCTGTGCTGCCATGCTCTTCTTTCTGTTCTCTGTTACTGTCTTTTTTTTTTTTTTTTTTTTTTTTTTTTGAAGTACATGCATTATTCTTTGGTCATTAACAATCACAGCTGGAAAGACCTGAACTTGATTTCCATTTCTCTCTCCAACTGTGGGGACACCTTCTGTAACCTCTGTTGCTGTGGGGACTGTGACTTTCTAGTCTCGGTGAGCTGAAGCACATTTTGTGGTAGCACAATGTGCCTCCAGCCACCTGGCAGCCAAAACAGCCCTCAGAGATGAGTCAGCAGCTGTTCCCAGTGTGCAAGTATTCTTGTTTTCAGTGAACAAATAAAAACTCAACAACTTACTGCTGGTACTTGTATTAGTCATTAAAGAAAGAATGATGTTTTTATGTGCATATATGCCAGTATCCTTTTGGTAAAATATTGCTATTTATGTTAGTATTTTAATCCTTCCAGTTAAGATAGGATCAAAATTTGACCCTTAACGATCTCTAAACTGTGAAGTAAAGTCAGAAGTTGCCCATAAGCTGAAGAGGGCAGGCAGGTGCACAGTTCTTTATATGTGATAGGAGTGTGCTATATCCACGTATAGTATGTGCATATATGATGAACATGTTCTTTATTTTTCAAGGATAGTAATGGCTCTTTTGTCAGATGATATAGAGTTAATCTTTTAAACGTTTATGCCCAAGGACTCAAGGAGCTGGCAGAGGGACAAAGTTTTCTTTAAGTTGTATTACCTGTACTGATTTTCCTTTGAGCACCATGTTCAAGGGCTTGGAAGGAGTAAAAAACTTTTGATATCTGGAGTGCTGTTCGACAGATGGATGTCTGTATACTGATGGCATAAAACATTAGGAGTATTAACTCTGAAGAGGGAATAAATGTCAGGTCAGTTGTGCTCCCTTTAATTTGCTTCCAGGAAAATTGTTGTTGCTTTTTTGTTTACCAGTTTTCTGGCTTTTGTCAGCGCAGCTCATGATGTAGGCTTTGCTAGTGTGCTGTTGGTGCTGCACGGGACACTTTTCCTGTAAAATGCTCTTTCCTTGTGACTCATTGAAGCATTCATGCTAACATCTCAGACAGACAGTCTCTTAAGGATATCCCTTTAAAAAGCAGCTGCAGTAGGAAGTGTTTTTATGTGTTTCCAGCTTTGTGTTGACTTACTGTTTTCACAACTCTAGTCTTGGTTAATGTAGAGGGCAGAAAGAGCCTCTTTTGGTCTGAGGGAAGAAAGTTCAAAATGTTTGTTGTGCTTCTGCTGTATGCAAGTAGCAAAGTGTTCATCTCTGATACTGTGTTGTAGCAGTGAGTCTGAGTGTTGAAATGATCTGATGAGGGTTAAATCACTGTAGCTAGGTTTAGGAAAAATATTGTCTTGCACTGCAATGGTCCTGAGTCTGAGGAGACTGTAAGGATTTACTTATTTACTTGAAACATACCACATCTGAAAAAAATTAGATGCAGAATTCATGGAGTAATTCTCCTGGTTTTTCTGCCCTTCCTGGCAGCTGAGTTATACCACAAACACCAAAAACAAATCTATAAACTTGTCTCCCCAAAAACCCCACCAAAGGGAAAACCACCAGTTCTGAGATATTTGAGTATTTTGGTTTTGGCAAAGGCATTTCTAGGGAAAAGCTCCTGAAACTTGTGAAAAGTACTTTTTTTAGGCTCAGAAGTTCTTTCCATAAATTGGTTTATCTATCTCTGTTGCAAATTATATCTACCATTTCCATTCTGTGGCTCTTATCCCACACTGAATTGGTGCCACAGAGAGCAGATCAGCCCTGAAATGAAACCATAATTATGAAAGCCCTGTTAGCTGGGCTTGCCCCTGATGGAAGCAGTCCATCTTGCTCTTCTCCTGAGGCCACCTTGCCGTTGTGCTGGCACAAGCAGCAATTTGACTATGTGATGGCGTGGATCAGCTTTTTTTGACAGATCAGTTCTGGCCTTGATCATTTTCCTGCTCTGTTTCCCTTTCCAGTAGCAACGCGAGTGAGGACAATGCAAGCAGACCACTTCAGTCTGCAAGCCAGTGAAAGTGTGTGTGAGCTACGACTCCATGGAAGGAAATGCTGGCTAAATATGGACCCAGAAGGCCTGTGGTCAAAGCATAAAACCTAGAAAGTTGTCCTTGGCCTGCTGGAAGGTTGTAGGCAGTGAGTTGTCTCATGCTCAGTTTTTTTCACTTCAAAACAGAATAAATGATGTCGATATCCTTCATAAAGTTGTTTGAGATCTTAGTTTTCGTAAGCAGGGGGAAGCAGGTCGAAATGGTTCTCACTGAGTTCTTCTTTGTATGAAAATCTCAATGAGTGTCTCCTGCAAATAATGAGAAACACTTTAAACTGGAGAAAGAAGAAAATGCTTTACCAAAAAAGTAGCTCAAGTAGGCAGTGAAATTAACACAGTAGGGTGTGAAGTTTTGAAAAGTTTAGCATTTTAGCATTAGTGCTTTTTAACTTCAGAATTACTTTTTAATGTTAGAATTAGTGCTTGTGATACCACATCCCATTTGCTGTCCTGCAGATCTGTAAGTATTCTGAAAATAGAGATCTAACAAAAAACGGGAGGAGAAGCTCTGTCCTTCCTCTGTTTTTCCCTTCTTTACCTATCATAGCAAATAACAGTTGTTTTTTCTGAGATGCCATTTAAAACTGCAGGAGACAGAATATTCAGAAATCTGCTGTGGTTTGTGAAAAGCAGTCTCCTACATGAACTGGGACATTAAATACCAGGATTTTTCCACATAGTTGTCCTCCTGACAGGGTGGTGTAGTAGAAATTGCAGATACCAAATCAGCTGAGAAGTATTTCAAGTTTAGCATCTTTAATCATGATTTTGAATCTCTATTACCAGTTCCCTGTAATACACTTATCTTCTTTTTTGTCTGCCAATGAAATGAGATAATTTGCCAAAGTAACCAGATTCCTTTTGGAGCATCTGTAGTATGTTTGTCCACTCTGCTCTCCAAGTATAGTTCAGTGTTTGCAGTAATTGCAGACGAAGGTCTTGTGTTTGCATGCTGCTTCATTGACATGTTACCATGAAGATCTGAAGGAGCATTCAGCATAAGCCATAATGACTTGATAAATGCATGGTATCTAGATGCCGTCAGAACATTTTGGTCCAAATGTATGCTTGAGCAGGTTTGAAAGTGTGGAGGAGGGTGAAAAAGGTCTCTGGAGTTTGACAAGGAAGGACAAGCCTGGTCAAACTGAGAAGCAAGCAGCAAAACAGAGAGCATCTTGCTTTCTGAGGACAATTTAGATGTTTGTAACCCAGCCCTAGAGGATAGTGTATAAAGACCTTTTTTATGTAAACTTAGCCATGTTTTGGCAGTCTGTATGGACTGAACCCTTTGGACTGGTTCCTTAGAATTGGATGATACCAAGCTCTTGAGTTGCCATCTGTGGCGCATGCACCAAGCATGGTAGTGTTTAAATGTGTGATTAGATCTGTGTGAACTCTTCTAAAACCAGGAGACAAATAGGTAAGTCTTGAGGCGAAGAACAAACCACTGCTAAGATGCAAGATGAGCACAGGTTTTCTGAAGCCGGTTCAGTACGTAGCTGTGATACAAATGGCACAGACCTATTTGTGCCTAACTATGAATATAACTTAATATTTGGGATGGCTTTGGAGAGCTCCTCTCTAATACACTGACTCCAGTTGCAGCTCTCCCCTATTTGTGATTACATAAAGAATGCCTTACAACCACGTTGTTCTGCCCTGTTGAGCTAATCTAAGTTGAAACATCTTGTTCATATAATGTGCTTCAGTGCTCTTTTATGAACTCCTGTGTACTGAAGCAAAGTTGTTGGAAGTCAGTCTTCTGATTCCTTGTCTGCTGGGGATTGGGGGAGGGGGGAATCGGGACTGCTTTGTTTTGTTTTCCAGAAATGATCAGTCCTGCTTAACAAATATGGAATTCTGGATGAGAAAACAAAGCCTGACTTCTAATGGAGAGCTGGTTATTGAGGTGAAATAGTATCCCAGGCTGAGCAATGTAAAGAGAAACCCACCTGTTTGTGTGAGATGTCATTAAAGTGCGGGAAGGTGGGGGTATAATGTGAGCCACTTTTGCAAGGTGATTACACATAACAAAAGAAGGGACAGTGTCCCTGCCCCAGAGCTGCATTATAGAGTGCTGTGTCCCCCTGAAACTCAACTCCCATGTTTCTTCCCTGACAATGGGACCTGAAATAACCTCTTGGTTTTGGTTTTTTGTGTGTTTTCAAGTATGTTCTTGCTTAAGGTTTAATTGGCTCCAGTCAGTAGGAAAGGGCTCCAAGGCTGATTATTTATGGCTTACTGTCAAAAGTGGCTATAAAAAGGGCAGTATTATCTTGGAGATGCTGGGAAGGAAAATGTGGTGGGGGGAGGGTGGGGGAGTGTGTGTGTGCACGAATGTGTTTTCTTGTACTAGATGAAATCAGAGTTTTGCTGTCTCAGCAGTGTGGTTTAAATTGAAGATTAACCCTTTGACCTTCACGGTGTCAAATCACTTACAGATGGATCACCAGTTATATTTTTACTTTTTTTTACTTTTGGGGTGAAGGGGGGCTTTTTTTTTTTTTTAAAAAAAAAAAAAAAAAGGTTGTTTGTTCATGCAGCTGGGGCTTTTGAAAGGCTCAGAAGCCAATCTGATTAAAAACAGCACTTGGCTAAACTCTGCAAAATCCTACAAGCAAAAAAAAAGTTTAATCCTCTTGTGCACAATGCATAAAGGATCTGCTCTTTTCTTTTTGTAATGTTAGAGCTACAATTATTTCTGGAGAACTTATCATTTCCCTCTCTCCTCTCATCCCTTGCTGCACCCCCTTGTTATGCTGATGGGATTAAAGTGTCTGCTCTTGAAAAGTGTAACTGAGTTGTTATTGGAAAAGAGAAGTGGTATGTTGCAATTCTAGAAATATAAATAACTTTGTTTCAACTGTTCTCTACAGCATCAGCAGAACAGAAATCAAGTGTGGTGGCAGCTTTTTCTCTTTCTACACAACTTGGCCTTAAATGTGGAGGCGAACAGGAACCGCACTGGGCAGAGGTGAGCTTCACCCACCTGTTTCAGGCCACATCCAGTCTGCAGGGAGCACTGAACAAACACTGGTTCGGGGGAGAGACATGCACACCGCCGGCCGGATGTGAGGACTCTGAAATTCTTATACTCGTCTTCAAGTTTGGGGTTTTATGGACTCTTCTTTGCTGCTCCCTGCCTTGTGAGGTGGGGAGCTCTTGTCCAACACTGTTGAAGGAAAGCCAGAATGTGGATGTGTTTGGTAAAGCTTGCTGCTGGTTCCCCGCACCGATAACCTCTGTGCAGGAGAGGCAGGTATTAGGCTAACAGTTTCCTCTGCCCTGTGTGTCACTCAGTGATAGAGTGCAGGAGAGTCATTTTGACTGCTAGTTAAAAAGGATGTCTGAGGACTGATGACTTTGAATATCAAACGTACTTCGGGAATCTTCACAAGCAGAGATGATTCTTCCATGATGAAAGTTCTTTTTAACAACGAAAACATTTCAGTAGCTTATATTCAGCAGGTTACTTGTTTTCTGAATGGATTTATTTCTTTGCATCTTAAGTGAGAGAAAATCACAAAGAAATACAATCTCCTCAATCTTTCCATTGGGCACCAGCTGCAGCTCTCTCATATGAAGTTATTCTTTGTCATTGCTGCCAATACACCAAACTGTTTCAGTAGAATGTTCTTGAAAACATTCCTGGAGTTATTGGTGACTATTAACTTCTGTCCCTCTTCACTTCCAATTGAGTACTCACAGTACCCATAAGCCAGCATGAAACTAAAATCATGGAATATGACACATGTCATTTTTTCTACAATGCTATTGTAAATGCTTTTATTAGTTTTATGATGAGTGGTTTTGTTTGTTTGTTTCTCCCTCTTGTCACCATAATGTGGTTGGTTGGGAAGGCTTAGGTCCCAGGCGTCTGATTAGAATTGCTTTAGGATTTGACGTGAATGTTAACTAGCAGCTGGTTTGACACATACACTGTGCAAGCAATTTGTCCACTACTCCACTAAGTAGTGTTTGGAGGCAAACACTGACCAGCAGCAATAATATTACTTCATGAGAGACCTTCTAGTGGTTCCTACTTCATATGCACTCAGAAATTTGTCCACGTGATTGACACTATTGGACCAGCAGAGGAAAATAACCCTACCAAAACGATGCAGCCTTAAAGATCTAAGGCTTCCTCTGTGCAGCCTTAAATATCATTAGTTCACAAACCCAGTGGTAACTAAGGTAAAATATTAACAGAAAAAACAATACAGACTTCATTTTTCAGACCACTTCCATATCTCCACTGCACCTTGTTGTAGATCTCAAATTACAAAACTAGCTTAAGGAAGATCTTTCCAGAGATTTGCTCTTTAACCCCATTACAAATGCTAACTTCAGCTGTTGAGAAATTTTTCTGCTATTGGTTGACCCTGAAAAATAGGCATTGCTGTAAGAGAAGAGTAGTTTACTTGCACATACACTTTCTCCTCCATTCCTCTCTGCATATCCTTTTATAATTCATGCTTTCTCTGGTATTTTGTATGATGTCATCAATGCACTATAGTGTATGGTAAAATTTGCTGAACACATTTAAATGTGGACTTTCTCCCTCTTTTCCAGCCGCATTTTCTTTATCTGCATCCTGCTTTACTGTGGCAAAATGTGCTTCAGCTCCCCGAAAGAGGTCTCAAAGCCTTTTTCACTTTCATATATTCACAATTGCTCTCTTGCAACATAATGAGAGTTTGTGAGAAAAGCTTTTTTTCTCCTTTTATGTTATTTTTTTCTAGCTAGGGCTAGAGTAATATGTTTGTCCAGGATGATTAATAATTCATGCAAATGAATCTCAAGTAATATTTTAGGGGGTGGGTTTTAGGATGGGGGGAGGTTTTTGGGGGGAGGGCGTTGTTTTGGTTTTTAAATTGTTTCTTTAAGCATGTGCACTACAGAGTTACCCAGAGGGATACAAGTGCTATCTGTTGCCAACTATGTTGCAGCAGTATGAGAAGCCAATCTCTACCCATGTTTTACAGAGATGAGGTTTTCCATACCTTGCTTTGCGCAGTCTGCTTGGAGTAAATGCTGTTTATTGGAGAACAAGGACTTTAGTGGGGGCGAAAGCCTGAGGGGTAGTGTGAGAACAGACTGAGGTGGGTGCCCCTAAGAAACTGGATGCTAAGGGCAAGACTCTTAAAATAGGAAATCTTAAAGAGGCTGGAGTGAGTGTGCTGAGGCTCAGGGAGCAATGCAGCTGTGTTGCCTGCCAGCATGCTCCAGGACTTGATGCTTGCATTTTCCCGCTGGGTGCCATGGCTCCTTTATTGGGCACAGTCACAGACCAGTAGGTCAAAGCTTCGTCATAACAACCCCACAAACTATGAAGGACTCAACAAGTGCATCTGACGCCTAAAAAACGTCATGAGGTTCCTGCTTCCCCGCTGCTTTGTCTTGACTGCGAAACAGGCCAATAATACCAGTACCTGCTCTGAATACATAAGCTGGAAAGTAGGTCTGGTATTGGCACTTTCTGATATTGCAACCCTACCGGTTATTCTAGGACATAACTGTTCTTAATGTGGAGAAACAAATACCTGAAATTGTTCAGCAGTCAGGCTGACTGCCTGAATAGAATCACTTGGCTCAGGGAAAGACACAGCTTTGCCAGTCCGTATTTCCCATTGTAACAACAAACTTATCAAAATTGGTCATGCCAAGGTCTTTAGTTAAAATCTCCTCAAACAACAATACTTCATTGGAGACATAGAGCTACTCCTAGACAAAGGCTGACTTCCTGCAATACGCATGGTGGTTAATGTTGCCAGAGATTTGCAACCACTGATAATATATTTGAATTATATTCCGTATCTGCATATCTTGGAGCAAGGAAATACGCTCTGTCAACCCAAAATTCTTATTTTGCTCCTTGTAGACATTATGGGGCAGTCTGGTTTTTCACTTGAGGAAAAGGAGCTGTTTCATGCTTACAGTCTCACCTACTTGAAGAAATAATGGGTACTTGTTATTTATTTTTTCCTTCTGGCCTGGTCAGATGATTCTGTCTTCTCTGGAGGGTGAAAAGATTTCACATGTTTACTAACAAATGCACAAATGTGCATCACTCATGTGATCATCCTTTTGTTTGACACCCATCCTGTGTTTGTAAGGACCGTTCAGCATGCATTGAGATCTCAGAAAACCTCTTACAGTGTGACCACAGACACAGGCCAATTGTTCGGGGAAACACGTCCAAGGAGCATGGATTAAGTTCTGTTGGTGAGGGAATGTGATCAATTTTTTTTTCATACTAAGTTGTCTTCATGAAAGAATGGATACTGTTTTTCTGTGTCGTAAATCTACAACCTAGCAATTGGAGAAAACAATGGGATCTTCCTTCTACCTACAAATACCTACAAATACCTAATTTTAACAGTCAGTTTTTAAAAAACAAACAGAAAAAAAAAAAAATCCAACAACTTGAGCTGCTGACAACAGCAGTATTAAAGTATCCTCCTTGCTTTTCCCAGATCTCCAAAATGGGTTCAGACCTCAGCTTTCTCTCCTTGAGAGATAGCCTGGTGTCCCTTCTCAACTTCTCACCCTTTTGGGCATCTTGTAACCTTGGCCATCCCTGGATCCAGTAAACCTGGTGCTAGTAGGGAATAGTTAATTTCACTTTTGTTTCCTGCAGTTCTTGAAAGCTGAGCCAGTAATTGCAAAGTGACTGCCCAGGGATAGCTGCAAACTGCCATTAATAGGATACAAAAAAGGCAGAAGATAAATGAATTTGCGTAGAAAGGATTGCCTTTGGATTTGTGTGCAAGGCTGCAGACTTCTCCCAAGGTGCTGATAATCTCTGGTAGCACTGAATTCCTGCATAACTGATCACATATCTCAGTTTAAATAGCCTAGTGGGTTAGATGTTTGTTGGCTAAACTCTCTGGAGAAGAATCCTGAAAGAAACTTCCCTATCAGCCTTTGCTTTGGAGATGTGTATCAGCAAGGGACTAGAGTAGAGGAACCCAGTCCTTAATATAGAAAGGGTGATTGTGAAGACTTCTCTCTTTCTTTCTATTGGCTGTTTGCTTTGTCCCTTCAAACCTGAATTAAAGGTATATGAGATGTGTGCATGTGAAGTTAATACAGCCCAACTTCTCCTGTAGCAGTCACTGGAGCTATAGCCAAGGTTGAAATTCATTCTGTATGGGCCTTGGCACTCATCTGGGAAGCTACATATTCTGCCCATTAGTAGACTCGGGAGAAGATTTTCCTTTTTTAAGAAAAAGGAATAATACTTGAGGCAGTTGTTGCAGTGTGACCCCCTCAACTCTGCAAAATTAGTTTCATCCTTCTGCTACTGGTCCTGACCAATATCTTTGCCGAAGGTGTAGGAATGGTGAGACTGTGACACGCTGGATGGTGTGTTATTGGGTATTTTTAAAGGGAAAAATACAGGCAGCACATAATTTACGTGCTATAAGCCAAATGAGAATGCGGAAATGTGGAGGCCTTGCCTTATTTTACCAGCTATATTTACTGCAGGAATATAAGTAAAAGGACCATGGGTTGTTCATTCGTGTTAATGGGAGCTCTGCACGTGGACCAAGCACTATGGAGTATTAGCATAATTTGACAGCAAAGGTTTATATCGTTCAAGAGTCTGTTTTTCAAACTGGCATTTGTGCTCATTTGCAAAAATGCCTACCTATTGCCTTTGATTGTTTTAGCAAGAAGAAATACCTCAAGGAATTGATAAAAGATCACAGAACAATCTTTTATAGTTCCTAAAGACTTCAGTGGTCTCTGTTTCTTTGGTTTGCATGTGTTCACACAGGTGTTACACAGCTCAGTTCTTCTCCACCAGGAAAAGCAGAAAAGACCAAACACATCAAATGCACTGGAATGTAATTGTGTGTGTGGGTGTGCGTGGGTGCGTGTGTGTGTTCTTAAACTGAATGCAGTCTGACATCCCCTACCCCTTCTTTCTTCCATGTGCCTCACCTTCCTCCTTAGCCACAGAAAGGAGGGTCTCTTCCTGTGAATCCTATGCTGGAAGTTGGTTTCTGGGAAGCGGAACCTAATGTTCTGTGGGCTGTTTTTTAAAGCCATGTTTTCAGTTCTGTCTTCAGACTCCTAGCTGCCTTTGGGGAATGGAGGGGTGGGAAGAGTAGATTCTTAAACTGTTTTTAAAATCTATTATGAAAATGTTGCATGTATAAAGTTATTCTTAAATCTAAAGGAGTCTCCCTGATTTGTGGACATAGCTCCAGGAGAGCATCATCACAGATTCCTCAGCTCCAGTTTTTATCAGAATATTATGAAAGGAAAAATTGATGACAAAAGGGGAGAGACTTGGTGTGATGTAAAGATAACGTTGTCAGTATCTTTTTAAATAAAAGTCAGAAAGTAGGCTTCAAATAAGGAAATTTCAAAACACTCAAGGGATTTGAATGCCTGTTTCCACTGGATGCATTTGGAAATCCTGCCACTAAATTTGAGTTTGGGTGTCTAGACTGTTGGGATTCCTTTTTTTGTGAAACCAATCGTGCATCTTTTCTTCTGTTCTTTTCGGTGGTATGGAGTACACTCTCTCACGTTTCTTGGTAAAATTCTCTGATGAGAATACTGTGAAATGTGGCTTCATGTTTTCTCCATTCCCCTCTTGCATGACTTTTCTATTTTTGTGGGATGCAATTAAAACTTCAGAGTCCTTCATCTGGAAAACCAAAACGGTAAAGTGAGCTAGAATTTACAATGTACTTGATAAACTTCCCATGACCACAGTGGAGGGTTTCCCCACGATTTCTAATGTTCACCAGAATATTATACTGTCCTGCTGCAGAAGTAATTCTGATGCTCTCCTGTGAGATTTCTGTCTGGATTAGTCCTGAAGTGCACACACCTTCTTTGCCATGGACTGAGACCCAGTGAGAATGTAGCATTTTGTTTATCCTGGTTGTGTGCCTCCAGGACTCCTGCCTGTACCAAAGGTGACTGGGCAGTGCTCCTTTTTTTGTTGGTTTTTTTTTTTTCTTTTCTTTTTTTTTTTTTTCCCAATCTGTGCAGTATATTTGCTTTGTGCTTTCTTTCTTTGGTGCTTTTTAATACTTTAATACTTGGATTGTTTTTTTCTAATAACTGGTACAATTTTTAATAAAATTGTTAAATTCTTTATCTATGTTCTTTGTTTTATTTTTTAAGGGATGGAGGGTGTTTCTACAGCTGGCCAGTTCTGGAGTTACTTAAATTGGTGGTACAGCTTTGGTTGTTCAACTTTGAAAATACCTGGTAGATCCTTTTATGTATAACCTAGAACCAAGCCCTACAGCAAAGGCAAGATTTCACTTCCAGACTGGACTTCAATCCTCAAGCACAATTCAAGTTATGAAATGTTCTTTCAAGGACAAACATTCCCATGAATGGGCAGAGAGCTGCTGCTGGTGGAGCTGTGCAGTTAAATTGGAGCTGCACTATTAACTTGCTGCTTCAAATCAGAAACCTGAGAATATGTTTCTCTTAAGACATACATAGCATGCCAAATCTGTAAAATGTACCCTTTGACTGATGGCTGCTTCCTTTTTGCCTAGGCAAGTACATTCAGAGTCAGGCCAAGGGCATTAATTGAGAGAGGTACCATTCTTGCTGGTCTTCTGGCATGAAGGCAGTGGACAAAGGTTGCTGCAACTTTCAGGGGACTTGTAGTGACGCTCTTCAAACACAAAAATGAGCATGACTCGACCATTACGAGTGACAGCAAGATACGTTTTAGTAATCATCAGGCCTCTCCTTAAGTTTTACTACATTCCTGCATGGAAAGAGAAACTTATGTCCATTAAGTAACGGCGGTTAATCTTGGTAGAGCAGAAATGGAGAGGCATATCTTGCAAATTGTTTATAATATCGCTGATCGTATTCTTTCAACCACATGCCTCCACCAATGTGATGTTGTTTGTATAGTGTTCATTGGGAGGCTTTAGGAAACTGTATTAACAATCCTACTCGATGTTAAGTTGCCTCTGTTGGTATGTGCCTGCCACAAAAGGGTCTTTCATTCTGAGAACACATGATGTGTGTGGTATGAAAAGCCACATGTGCATCTAAGACCACAGGGGGAAAAAGACAGTTTTTCTTTTCATTATATTAGATCTGCTGAAAGTGTGTCCCCTGGCCAGTATCATGTGACTATGAAAGAGCCTGTTGTAACACACTGATACGTGGGGACAGAAATGAGATTGACTTAGATGAGAGTGTTGGCTCTGACTTTCCTGATTCTCATTAAATTCTTGCCATTAATTAAAGTCTCACTCTTAAAATCTTTATTAAGTCTTGTATCAAAGAAAATAATAGCTTTTACAAATGAACTACTGTAACGCTACCCTGGAGGGATTTGCCAAAGCAGTGGGATGCAATGCACCTTGCTCAAAACAAAAGCAAGTGCACAGTTGTATGGACTGCTTTCCCTCTTCAGGGATCTGGATCAGTCTTGGCTGCTTAGTTTAGATCAGTCAAAACCTGCTGCCTGTCATCCAGCCATGGTGTAGCAGAATCACTGTGTGGAAACTTCTTTGGGATAGGCATCAGGACCAAAAACTACAGGCTGGCACATTCCTGTCACAATGAATGTTAGTACATACAATTATTCTAGCCTGAAAGAAAGAAGATATCACAGAAAATGTACTTCAGAAAAGTTTTCTTCTCAAAACCTTAAGCCCTCAAACTAACACAGCCTTTTCAATTTATTTCCAGCCATGGAAACCGCAGTGTCCATTGCTTTACACGTTAGCATGACTAGCACTTTAAGAGAAAAGGAGTTCAGTTATGAACTTCCTAATGGTATGCTGTAGGGACAAGGTAAAAAGTTTAAGTAGGATTACTGCACCAAGGAAAAAATGTTTATCAAGAAGTGCTCAGCCTGCCTCGTTAAAAATAATAAAGCACTCTGAGGACAAGAAAGTCCTTTGGTTGCGCAAGCTACCGCACAAAGCACATCGTTTTCATGACTCTGTCAGCTGAAGTTTAGAAGCCACTGTAGCACTTGGTTTGGGGACTATTTTTCAAGTACTCATACTGTTGTTTTATGGTGCAATAAATGTGCCACTCCTTACTTTTTGTAATGTATGTGCAAACTTGGAAGCTGCTCTACTAACCAGCTTTCCGATGGTACTTTCTTACCTGAGTAATTTCGAAACAATCCAGTCTACTGCTTCCCTTTGCCCTCCTCCCTCATTGCTATTTATGGAGAGAGAATGTTTGGGAAAGAAAAGTTGTCCTCAAAAAGTGAATTTTGGCCATCTGTGAGGATGGACCGGTGTTAAAATATGTGAGATGCAATTCTTTCATTGAGCATATTGGTGATTGCTGGTAAAAGTCCTGAGTCTGAATGGAAAGAAACCTGCTTCCACCAGAAACTGAACAAATAGCGGATGGTAATTTCTGGCACTGAGTTATCTTCCACCTGACATGATGCACAGCGCTCTAACAGCTGTATGGAGTCAGACGACAAATTGACAGGCATGGTGCATTGACGTCAATATTCATATTCTCCCGCATAAGTCCCTGAAATCTTGATTTCTCTTAAAAGAATTATGTTCTCTGTAACATTTATAATGGACTCTTTTCTTTCTCCATTAGTCTGTGTCAGCATTCTCCTTCTCTGTGTTTTGCCTCAGGGCTCTTGATGTATACAAAGGCTCCTCTGTTTTCTGCTCTTAGTCACACGCTTTCACTCTTAACCTCAGCGCTATAAACTAAACATCCACCCACCATGGCTGGAGATGACCCTGTTTATGTCTGCTGCTCGAATCACGACAGCAACAGTCATGAAAGTATGTTCCATGGAGACAGTTAGCTCTTGATAACTGGACAATGAGTCTTAGCTTTTTATAACATGAGTTTTGCAAAAATCTCAGCAGAAATAAAGAGCCAGAAATAGTTAATGAAATCTGTAAAGTAATAGCTTGTTTCAATTCTGTTACTTCACCACCTTTTTCAATTACTGTAGATGATTCACTGGAACAGCCCACCATGCTATGGGGCCGTGAACCCAACCAGGGTGAGGGCAGGGGAGAGGGGACCAGGTCAGTTGTCCCTCCATGCAGCTGAGGGCTGCTCAGAAGGACACGACCACTCCAAGCACAGCAGCCATGCCAGGAGTATAGCAGCAGGTCATCCCACTCATAAGACCTTTCCATCTTCAGAGCATTTCATTGTCTTCATTGCGGTGCTGGAACAGGCTGCCCAGAGAGGTTGTGAATGCCCCATCCCTAGAGGTGTTCAAGGCCAGATTGGATGGGGCCCTGGGCAGCCTGGTCTAGTATTAAATAGGGAGGTTGGTGGCCCTGCCTGTGGCAGGTGGTTGGAGGTTCATGATCCTTGAGATTCCTTCCAACTCTGGCCATTCTGTGATTCTGTGATTCTGTCAGTCTCCTTGCCATGGATGCCAGGCAGAAGCCTGGTGGTGAGAAGGGCCCCTCCTGAGGAGACCACCAGCCTGCAGGGAGCAGGACGAGCAGAATGCCAGTTGGGAACACGAGAGAAAGGGGCAGGAACACTGATAACAATTTGCAGCGTGGGACAACTTGTCAATTTCTTTATGAACAGTTGAAACCAGTCATCCAGCTGAAGTCAGGCTTACTTCTCTGCAACCACTACAGACAAAGAGTGCATCAGGAACAAGGTATGGTTCTCTATGAGGGGCTGCTGCTCTCCTGGCTGGGTCTCAGCAGATACTGCCAGAGACACAGACACTGGGGAAATGTGGGCTGTTCTGACTCCTCCTGCCATATCACCTGCTCTGTTCCCACTTTTCTTTCACCATTTTGCAAAGGCCAGGAACAGAAGCTGCTGTGATGCTGTCCTTGTAGAAAGCATTTCAATGCCTTCCCAGGGGTTCAGCCTGCAACTGCGCTGCAGGAAGTCCCATGGCTCCTCACCACCAGTGACTTGCTCAGTTCCCCATGCAGCTCTTGCAGCAGAAGTGGGTCACAGAGTTCACCCTGACTGTCACTGCATCTTCCCCGTGGTGTGTATGCTAGCACTTTCATTAATTTGATTTTAAACATCCCAAGTGAGCATCTTTCCACTATTTCCCACAGGAGATCAATGTACCTCCTAATAAATCTCACTGACAGAAGGTTTTTCACCAATATTCATTCTAAAGTCTTCTGCTTAATTATATTCCAATACCCTACTTACACGTCCTTGAGTTACTTTGCAAGATTTTACCAAAGTCATTCCTATACCTGGTGCACTTCTGAGCTCACTGAATTCCTTGACTTGTCTTCAGTGTGCCTGCAGTCAGCTTTTTTGGCTCCACAGCAGGACCAGCAGGGAGGGCAGCCATCACCAAGGGACGCCCCTGGTTATTGTGCCCTGAGGAACCTCACTGTTCCTTTTAGCTGCTGGTTCCAGAACTGAGCCATCTTCATCACCACTGCAGGAACTCACTTTGCTCTTTGAAAGAAGAAGAGCCAAAGCAGAGCACCTGTCTTTTCACCACACATCAATAGTGATGATCTGGGTGAATATCTCTTGCTGGAGGATGGTCACATCTATAGTGGGTCTCCCTGACTTCTTAGATGTGGATTACAAGTGTCTCTGGGTTGTGATTGTCTGGAGTCAGTCAACCTGCTTTGCACTTTATTAGAGTTGTTACGACAGACAACATAAAACACAGAATTATATCCAACAAGGGGCATAGGTAACTAGCTGTCCCTTTTGGTATTGAATTCCATATCCACAATCTCATCCAGCTGCTGCATAACCCTGGAAAGACTTCTTACGTCAAATTTCCCCAAATGCCTAAAATTCTGCTGGAAGCACTGAGCATCTCAGGACCAAACTCATTCTTTGCCTCTCTCAGGTGAGGTATCTTCCAGGGTGGACATTCTCAGAGCATATCTCCAAATTAGTGTTCACAAAAGATGCAGAAGACGATCCTTTTTTCTCCAGTGTCAGCCAGTACTCCACCCAGAGTTGCTGTCTGTTGCTAGATGAGCTCTGAGCCTAGTGCTCTCTGCTCCCAGAAGAGCAACTGGTCAGGCTGTGTTGCTCTGAACTTCTTTTGACAAAGCTGTAACACTTGGATATTATGGTAGCCAGTGACAGGGGAAAGAGCGAACACGACCATCATAAGGACAGGAAACCATGGCACGAATGTAAAAATCCATGTTCCA